TTGTATGTGGGCTGAGATACTGCCAGGGCGCCCAGACCTAGACAGGAGGACGATTAGGGTCCTCATCCAAAGCCTTTGGCTCAAAAGCCTGTCCGCAAGACATCGGGGAGGTGGCAATGATTTAGTTTTACAGAAATGGACGCCATCTCATTTCAAACCCCCAACCTGGAGGACCAGGAGACTGAATTGGTCTGACCTCTCACCATTGACCAACCTGGTAGGAGTAGCTCTCAAGGTGCCCGGAGGCATCACCCAATATAGCTCAATGGGTCAATGAGGTACGCAAACCGTCGCACCATGTTAAGGTCCAGTCTCGTTGCGACGGAGTTCAGTCTCTTTGCGACTTAGTAACACCACGCTGAATCATATGTAAGATGTCGTTATCAAGTTAGGTAAAAGAGCCCCATGCGGGTGAGCATTGCAGTAGTTTAGAAAAAAAGAAAAATATTCAGTTCCTTAGAAAACGCAGTAACCTCAAGACAGTCAAAATCGCCGTCAAATCACAGCTACATTACGGTTAAAGTGGACACCATACCAGCAAAGCACAGCGGAAGCAGAGGCTATTTGGTTCTTCCAGGCAAACACTAGCACGCTGTATTTGGGATATCAAGCGCACACAAGGCACTGACTGGAGCGTTGCCAACTCCACATTGGGTGCATCGGACCACTCTTCGAGTCTGGCACGACTAAAAGGACCGTCCCCTCCAGCAACGACCAACTGTCTTCTGGAGACAGTATGGCTGAGATAGTGGATAATAATCAGGTAGGCACCTTGTTAACATGCACATCAAGCGCAGCCACATCGATGATATCAAGCAACAGCCAATCACTTGAAACGACGATAACTAATAAAATAATGGAATAGCGCATACAAAATACGTGATATAATTCTTCAATAAATGAGCATATGAAATAAATCGGTTACGAATATATCCGCGATGATTTCAAGAAGTCAAAAAATACACCTTAAAAAATGACAAACGAAAAAATGTTATCGAAGTTAACTAAAGTAGTTGAAAGGACGTGTGCCAGAAACGTGGTTGGCATCGTCTTTCTGCGTTCGATAACGGTTGCTTAGATAGGATCGCTCGTGTTTCGTGGCAACATCGAGTTAATAGTAATGGCGTTCGAAGTCGCATCTTGGGGAATGCGAGTATTTCCTTCAACAACCTGGTTTTGTTGCGCCAGTTAAGATGGCTCGGTCACCCTCTACGCATGGCACCTGAGCGTCTACCGCGTCGCGCTCTATTCGCTCGTCAAGGACCTGGCTGGAGGCGACTGCGTGGTGGTCAGCCTTCCACTTGGCGGCAGCACATGAAATCGCTGACGTCGTGTCTAGCCGCTGTTGGGTCCGTACGTCTTCCAGGATGGGGACCCAAAGATGAGCAGTGCCAATGGCTTAGCACCCTTGAAGACATGGCACACAACCGGAATCAGTGGAAGAAATGTGTGCAGTATCGTATTGATTCACGTGTTTAATACTACAAACATTGAAAATGACAAAAATGAGCAAAATCGGCGTGCGAAAAGCAAACTAAAAGTGTTTTGCTCTACCTTTTGTCAAAATGTTCGCTTCTTCCTACGGCATATTAGCTGAAGTGTGTTGCTCACATTCAACTACCGTGCCACGATGATTATGACGCAGTGACATCCCCTTATCTGCTAATGTCCACGGTTTTGTTGGCTCTCTGTCTAGTAGCTAGGCTGTTGAGGTTAGATACATACGTTACATACATTAGCGGCATCCGGTTTCGGATTTGCCTGTGATTGTGGCCAGCCACAGCACGCCTGCGCCTACACAGGGACAATGGATGGCTTGCGCTGCACCACCCACAGCTCCAACCGCGTACCCCATATCCAGTATAAACCATAAGGAATAAGACCGCCAGGCATGTGGATGGGAGCCACGTATCATCAACGGAGCCGGCCGGCACACATTCACATGCAAACACAAGCACGCTGTATTTGGGGAATCAAGCGCATACAGGGCGGCGGCTGGACCTTAGTCCGTTCCACACCGAATGCATGGAACCACTCATTGAGCCTAGCACGACCACAAGGACCGTCCCCTCCAGCAACGACCAACACTCTCCTGAAACCAGTATGGGTGATATTGTGGATAACAGACCGGTAGGCACCTTGTCAACATGCACATCAAGCGCATCCACGCCCGGGATATCAAGCAACAGTCAATCACTTGAAATGACATGATCGCATAAAATTTATTAGTTGAATCACGGCTATGCCGGCATCACTCTTCTCTAAATTAGCATTTATTTGGTTAGTAACGAATCAGCGATAAGTACAAAATGTCCACAAGTTACACAGGATTTTCTACAAACGGGATAAGGTTAGCGTAAGCAACGTGGTCAGTTAATAGAAGAGTATGCAGAACAAACGAAACAAGGTGGTATGAAATTCATCCAACTTAAAAAGACCTTGTTTAAGTGTAAGTAGGTTTAGCGCAACTGCGGTGAATCACGAATGAACATCATTCTCAGCATGGGTAACAGACGTACGTACATATATACACTCCAGCGTATACATTCAATGTTATGGAAAACATGAAATTTCGTGCATTATTGCATCACTTGTTTTCCTGTTACTATTATCATGACTGCATAGGTATGCCTGGCGTTGTAGAGAAATAAACAATTATTTATCGTTTACTATATCATTATTCAGTGCACATGTCGCCATTGCATTTAAACGTAATGCGTGCTAACTTTGGAATAAGTATTAAGATCACCTATATTATCAGTTGCATTACAACATTAGTGCCAAGGTTAATACGGCGCAAATGGCAATCGCATGAGGCCAGAAAGCTTCGTGCATAGCGGCGATTGCACCAGTGAAGGTGCCGATGTCCACCGGTGCACATGCGTTATAGCCAAAGTAACCCGCGACCCCCGCGCTTGAATGCGCCACTCGTATTGTGCCTGTTGCACGGCGCATGACATGTGCTCACAGCAAGCGATAGTTCGTACGGACAAACGCTTTGGAGTCTAGGTTAGGAACACAGACTCTCGGCCGTGTCAGAATGCGAGTGGCCAGAGAACTTTTTCGACAACAGGCTATGTTGTAACGGTGATGTAGAGCACGCCCAACTTCCTTATCATAAGTTGACCCAGTTTTAGCCCGCTGTTCGTGACTTCAGACAGTAACCACTTATTACACCCATCTTACTGTCATGTAATACGTCATTGTCCATGTGACAAGTCGCACGTGAGCAAGTCCAGGCTGAAGTGAGGCACCTCTGTGCCCCATCTGTGCGTATATGTTGCTATGGCTATGCAAGTAATATCATATTGACTGGCGGCGTTAAGCTAACGAAACAGCCGCACGCATATCATTGTCTTTCGAATCAGTTAGTTCATGGATGGACCAACCTGTATGGACTAACTTGATTCCGAAATGATACAGAGCGTTGAGACTACCTTGTCCCAAATGGCTGGTGACTTCTGACCAGCAAGGTCTAGACTGTCGGTTGTCGCAACCCGACGTTCAGCCACTGTCAGTATTCCATAATCTCGCTCCCGGAGGAACGACTGTCTACGCATTTCGATTTGCATACAACTGTATAAGGCTGAAGAAGAATTATCGAGAACACTTGTCCGGTCACTCGGATTTTTAAAACAACCTTCATTGTTAATTAATATAGGAACCGAAGCAAACCAGATGAGCTGAGGGTAATCTTTCGAGATACTATCAAAATGGATCTGCGGGCGACGGTGCATTTAAATGGGACGTTGTCTTTTCAATGGAACATCGCTTTAAGCTTACCTACTGCGGATTAAACAGTTTTCACCAAATGTTAACATTTCCATCGGTTACACTAGTTGAAGATAACTAGCACGTGGACATAAAAAAGACTGAGATACTGCGCGTCCGGCGCACAATTTTTATTATTTTTTATTTACTATCAAAGGGCGTTTTCGCAACTTGAAGGGTCAACGTCCCGATAGACAAACTGATCTCCGACACTGCTCCAACAGGAAGCAAATGCCAATGATTTAATTCATCAACGACAATTGTTACCTGCATATAAGCGGTCGTTTATTCGAATGAAACCTGCGCATCCCATGTCATTTTTCCTATTTATACATTTTCGACGATAGTTATTGTCAAACGCTGAAGGTACAGCCACTACGTTACATAAAACCTGGACTGACTTGACTTGAAGGGGTGATTTCAACACGAGGATTAAATAGACAACCGAGTGAGTGGTGCTTGGACCTGCCAGTTCTTGTGTACAAACAGACTTTGGCGCCAACCTATTCTGCCTGCTGCAGATGAAGTAACTAAATTCTTCGCATGCTTGCACACCTGCTGCTCCGGTATAGGCCACACTCCAGTCACCGTAGTCGCTTTGGTAAAGCCCCAGGGCGGGTACCATCAATGGCGCTAGCGCGTGACGTACAATTGAAAGGAACTCATGGCGCGAGCAGCGAGGTGATAAAAATTCGACATGGAACTTGTCGTACTCTTGCCTTCAGTCTCTTGTTTCTAGCTACAAGTCGATACTCCTTCTCCATCTTACATGAGGTCTGTTTGATATTACCTTATTGCTTTTATTTGTTCAATTTCACTACCAACACGGTAAAGCTTGATCAGTAGCATTGTGGCGTGCGGGCCATAGTTGGCGAATTAGGCTGAAATGAAGGATTTAGGCGTTCTCCCTATCCAAAGCAGCGGACAGCCATTGCAAAAAAAAACAACTTTAAGAAGGACGCAATCAGAAAATGTCGATGTACGTCTGATATTGTCAAGAAGTTTTACTGTTAGCAGTTCCCGATTTCGTCGTAAAAAGGCATGGGTTTTACAGTCAGCGGCTGAAACAAAAGAGAAGTGAACATATCACATAATCCACAGGATCGGCAAGTGATATAGCACAGTCACTTTCACGCAGCATGTCAGCAAAGCAGTAGTCTGTGTGAGTTTGCATCGAAATAATGAGTTCTGGATGCGATCGCAGTGTGTGCTGAAGAGGAACACGGGGGTCAGATAGCTCCAGGAGGCGTAAGAGACTGGTCAAGGAAGCGTCGTTTGGCAAAGCAGGTCCACCACTGAAGGGAGAAAAAGGGTGAGCAAGGAATCAGCGACAGTACGGTGAACATTGATTTAGTGTACTTAGCTGAGAGAGTGAAGACCAAGAAATCAGTTGTCTTTTATGAAATGTGTAAAGGAGGCAGTTAACATACGGTCGCAGTCTCACACTGAGCAACCTCCAGCAGCTGCAAGCCCGACTTCACATATAGGGGACTGCATATACAATACATATTAACGATAAATCGTCACTGTTTTACTGTGCCTTTTGTGTCATCCCGCCTGGTAACCGTATTAATGACAGCTGTTTCCATGTTCCCATATCGGTTTCTTTCTATTTCTGATGCCCACTTAAGACTGTCAGGTTCACGACCAAACTTTAAATAATCTTCAACAGTTCTTATTGGGCACGTATACTTGCAAGTGACGAATATGACTGTTATTCTCACATCCAACCGCAAACCATGCACGTTCGTATTGTTCGTGATGGTTCATACCCAAAAGTGGACAAATCATGGATGTGAACATATAGGATTTGCACTGCCAATGTGTAGTTGCCAAGATCTGGGCTGATGAAGCCCATGAGGTGCATCGTCGTTTCCGCCGGGCTAAACTCCACTGTCTGTCGTACGTACGCTTCACACATTAAACATCCCGTGCGATATGCACTGCCTGGTTGCGCTTGATGTTAACGTTGACAAGGTGCCTACCAGTCCAACACCCTCCAGATCGATTACTGACCCCATTAGGCTGCTACTGTTTGTTGGGTGGGCGGGGTGCACGGTCCTGGTGGCGATGCTACTTTCAAAGTGGTTCCATCCAGTGTGGAGCGGACTACGGCCCAGCCAACACCTTTTGTACGTCTGGTACGCATGATTTGCCAATTAGAGAGGATTGCTGCTGCCGTTGAGGGAGTGGGGGGCGGCTCCGTTTATGAAATGCGGCTCCTATCCATCTGCTTCCCGGTCTTATTCCTTCGGGTTCAAACTGGATATGGGGTGTGTGGTTGGTGTATCATAACCCACCCATGATCCCTCTGTAGGCGCAGGCGTCCTGTGGCTGTCCCCATGCAGGCCACAATGACAGGCAAATACGGATACGGATGTCACCAATACAAGAGGCGTGGAAATTTTTCTGACATAAGAGCTGCAGATAGGGTAACGCCGAGAAAAGTAAATAATGTAGCACAACCCAGTACGGAGTTCACCGCACAAGCAGCACAAACGAGTAGAAAGAGTCACAAGCTTTGGGACGCAGTGCAGAGTTATACGAAATATGACAGGCAGTTGGTTCCATTCAGCCACCTAGGTAACTATGATGCACACACCTAAGTTGCGCTAGATCTAGTAAACGTTACCCGCGCCGCCAAAACGGGGATAGGGAATAAAAAAGGCAACAAAAAGGTCGTGAACACATCTATGGACAAACTTATGGGGGGGGGGGAGAAGTTGGAGAAAAGGATGGCATTGTCGGATAAAAACAAGGAATGGACCGCAGTGTGATGGTAGCTGAAAGCTGGGGCGAACCGAATCGCCTGCCTCAGTGCGATCGATCAGGCGATTGATCGAGCGGACGAGTGAGTTTTTGATTATACAGCTTGTTTTACTTTGCCTCAGAGTTGCGAGTAGAACGTTTGTGCGCAGAGCGGTGTGAGCTGTTTCTTTTGACGCGGCTGGGGAACCCAGGTACAAACCCGCAGTAAGGTGTTTATAGCGACCGACATAACCCAATGTGAAGCAATTATTCAAGAAGATATACATCGACCCAAGTAAGTCTCACGATCGATTTCTCCGATGTCTTCATGCCGTGTTAGCGAGTGGTCACTGGGGATTTACGAAACTGGGTGTACTGTCTGAAAATAACGCGGACCGGAGCATGTGGTTAGCTTGCCGAACAACGTCTCGTGGTGCCAGCTGGGTGATTCGGGTGTTTCCCGTTCCAGTAAATGGCTCGGCGGCAGTGTTCCAGGTCGTGGAGCGTTTCGCCTGGCAAGCGTTCTCCCTATAAAAAGGTACAAATATCTGTTTAACAACACTGCGACGTGGCAGATGTGACTTGCCCTACCTAAGTCACTGCCCCTTGCCCCTCCCTGAGAGGCATTGTACTTTAAGGGTGCGTTGAGTCCCTGGTCCTTCACAGACCGAAAGGCGTATGAACCATCTATTTGGTCACCGGCTCCCAATGGGTTGCGACGCCCTCACATCGCCCTGCTGCCTTGTAGGTTAGATCTTTGATCAAAGACTCGGCGTAGGGCTCCCTAAGTCAACCCCCTACTTCGGCCTTGGCAACCTGGTAGTATCACGCCCACTGACGAATCATGGACCACACTGCTTACTACTGCTCCTGTTATGCCTATTTTCTATGCTAACTCAACTGCTTAACCTCCATTCACAGATCACCCCACTGCCCGTCCCTCACCTATATGTCTTCTACGGTCACAGTCACAAACGACCCACGTCTCGCAACTGATGGAAGTAACAGCCAAACTCCCGGTTTTCAATGTCCTGAGAGCGCAGCTACCTCTTACTCCATCGAAGCTCCAGCTCTTCTTCGACCTGGTTCTCCATTCATCATCGCAGCGTTTATTGTTCGAACTTTGATGCAGATCGGACGACAAGCATGTCTGGCCCGTACTCTTGAAACACTCTCGGTAGACATGTGTTGCCTTTCAGAGACCAGATTACAAGACTGCAGCGCCGTCACCAGAATGGCCTCCCGGTAAACCCTGACACCAAATACCACTTGCGGCATTCCGGCGACCCAGAAGCTGCCGCTTCTGGCCAAGCTGGTGTTGAGGTTGCACTGAGTGCCAAGGCTGAATCAGCTCTGCTAGACTGGATCTCAGTCAACAGTCGGCTCTGCGCAGTCAGACTACGAGGTTCATGTAATGTAAGCAGGCGTCAAGACGTTAAGCGTGCCTTGTTTGTCGTCTCCACCTATGCGCTTACAGTCCGAATGTAGTCAAGAATAGTTTAACAGCAGCTACATGAACTTCTGCGTTCCTCCAAAAGGACTGATATAGTCATACTTGCCGAAGACTTTAACGCACGGGTTGGACGTTTTCCCCCATGCGAGCACCACCTTGGGGTTAGTTTTGGTCTCGGTGGTAGTCGATCAGACAATGGAGACAGATTGCTTGCTCTTTGCTATGATCATCGCTTGTTTCTTTCGAGCACTAGTTTTCGGCACTCGAGAAGACACACTGCTACCTGGTGCCCGCCCTCACAAACGCGAGAATGCTCTCAGCTTGACCATACAGCAATCAGCTACAGATGGCACGGAAGCGTAACGGACTGCCGATCGTACTGGGCAACTTAACTAGACTCCGATCACGCATTGGTTCGTGCTAAGATTTGCATGCGTTTCAGAGGATCACCCAAGCGCGCTCACTACCGACCGGACGTCGCAAATCTACGAAATCCTGCGGTTTTAACCAGGTACTAAGCCTCATTGTCAACCTTGCTTGGCTCAACTGTTGGCGATGACCTCGACTCGCAGTGGGCGCAAATTAAAGATGCTTTAGTTTCCGCCAGTATGAACACTTGTGGAGTTGCCCATCACATATCGAAGTATTAAATTTCCGCCGTCTTCTTGTCACTGATGGACAAACGCCACTTGGTCCCGTCGGATTCCAGACACAGTGAAGAACGCCAATCCCTTGGTCGAGAGTTGCGAAGGAGTCTGCAAATGGACCGCGAAGCTTGGTGGTGTGAATGTGCTAGGGAGATGGAGCTTGCTACTCCCTGGTAATACCAGAAAACTTTTCCATCTCATTCGAGTCACCGAAGATCTTTGATCTGGTATAAATGAAACAATGTGCGAAGAGGATGGCACCTTATTCACCGATCTTCAACGACGGTTGGAGCGATGGACCGAACATTTTGGCTCGCAGTTTTGTTGGCCCCCAGCTCCATCTGCTACCGCTGCCGCTCGCGCTGGGGCCGAGTGGTCTACCCCCACAGATCCTCCCTCTTATCAGGAACTCGAACAGGAGTTCCACCACATGAAGTGTTATAAAGCCACCGGCCCTGATGGTCTTCCTCCAGCTCTATTTAAAGATGGTGGCGCTTCGCTGATTCGAGAACTCACCGCTTTGTTCTCAAACGTTTGGTCGACAGAGAAAGTTATATCATCTTGGGGTGAATCGATAGTCGTCCCCATCTTCAAAAAGAGCCTGCGCACAATCTGCTCCGACTACAGAGGCATAAGCTTAGTCCCCGTCGTTTGCAAACTGCTGGCGTCCATCATACTTCGCAGGCTATCCCCAAAGCACGAATCGTTGCAGCGAGAAGAACAAGCGGGGTTTCGCCCTGGTCGCGGCTGCATCCATCAAATCCTCACACTTCGCCAGATCTTCGAGCTCCGCCATGTGTATCAGAGGCCAACAACTGCTGTGTTCTTGGATATCCGTGCAGGCTTCTATTCTGTCGATCGTTCAGTACTGTGGCACTGCCTACTGAGGAATGGTGTCCCCGAGAAGTTCGTCTCCATACTGCGCTCTCTCTATAGTCTGACCCCGGGCAGGGTTAGGGCTTATGGCAAGCTTTCGCCTACCTTTGTGGTCTCCAGTGGAGTTCGACAAGGATGCACTAAGCCTCCGTTCCTATTCAACTTTGTTATTGAGGATGTGCTGAAGAACGCTCTGGGCGATTCGTTGTACGCTGGCGTTGAGCTCCTCCCAGATAGTCAAGTTGTTGATTTGGATTATGCTGATGATATCGTCTTGCTGAATAACGACCCACAGTCGTCCGACTTGCACTAAACCGCTTGGCGATTGAAGCACCAAAGTATGGTATGCACTTTTCGCCATCCAAATACAAGGCTCTCTTCTAAAACTGGCGGGTGCCTAAGCCTGCAAGCAGTCTTGATGGTGAGACACTAGAGGATGTGGAGAGCTTTGTCGACTTGGGAAGCTGCATCATTGCTGGCGGGGCTGTTGGAGACGAGATTTCGATGCGCATCTCGAGAGCACGCCTCGCTTTTTCTAGGCTGAGGCACTTGTGGCGTTGCCACGACATTCGTCTCTCCATCAAAGGGCGGGTCTATTGTGCAACTGTTCGTACTGTACTGTTGTACGGATGCGAGACCTGGCCCATTCGTAAAGATTAATTGCGCAGGCTATCCGTCTTCGAGCACCGCTGTCTGCGGTCCATTGCCCTTGTATGGTGGCCGCACCACGTAAGCAATGTGGAAGTTAGACAGCATATCTTGGGACGTGGAAGCCACTCGCTCGAGGAGCTCGTCTCACTGCATCAACTGCGGTGATTGGGACACTTATTGCGCATGTCTGTCCAGCGTTACCCGAGTCGTGCGTTGTTTGCGGTTGCTAAACAGGGCTGGAAGAGACGGTCTGGTGGACAGCCTACAACTTGGAGGAGCCGCATGAAAAAGCTGACGAAACACTTGGCCTCGGCCGGTTGTTGTCAACTACCTAGTTGGGGTCCGAGAGATGCGGATACTTGCTGGTTGAAGACCTTGGAAGCCATGGCACAAGATCGATGTCAATGGCGGACGTGTGCAGCAGTGTGTTGCTGTGTCCCTTTTTCTATCCCCTAAAAAAACAAACTGAAAAGTTTTTAAAAACTGAGTGGTAAACTGGACAAAAAAGCTTTTGTTGTTGTTGTTCCTTGCTTATCATTCTGTTATAATCTTCTCACTAGACGCGATTCCGAAATTGACAGTTTACTGCTCTACAAAACTTTTAGCCCCACCGAAGGAAAAAGCAGAACGCCAATGACCTTGACGAAATAACGTATTAATCGGCGTCAACAAACTACCGTGGACCTTGGCTTTATTTATAGGTCTCTTACTGATCTACAACTTCTAGAATTGGAAGGTCAGCTACCAAGGTTAGTGGTTCCCCATAGCTTTTGCTGAGGTGTCAGGTGGTTTTTAGTCACGTTCAGAACCTAGAAAATTACAGAACATTCGAAATCAATGCGATAATCGTTAATAATCGATTAATCGCTAAAATAGTGGATTTTCTAGGCTATTCTTACTTTCTCCCGGACATAGCCCTACTGTTTTCCTATTCAGCCATGATTCCGATGGCACAATATCTGTACCACAGATTGTGTATTTTATACATATATATATATATATATATATTGTTTAGAGGATATGATCGAATGAACGCAAGCTGTTGGAGTTCAACGCATCCCAATGCAGCATAATAGAATCGCTTTCCAAAATCAAGTAACAAACGCCGGTACCTTATTGGTGGCTACATCAGATGTGAATGATGTTACGCAGGCATTATTGAAAATGACAATCAACTCCTATATGTCGTCAAAGCGGCATTGTAAGCCTTAGCCCTGAATACCAAGCTAACATGCCACCGTCGCCATAGACAAGTGAGAGAATAAAAAGATGCACGAGGTTTGTCGACACACCGCCATGTCTTTGATGTCTCTATCAGAAAATATGGTGCCGTTCACCAGACGGTTAAATTGTCTCTAGAGATATTCCAAATACGCTCAAACAGATGGGCTTGAGAGCGGATGAGCTGTCCGTTTTTCTTAGCTGCAGCATCACGTACGAAGGTTTTTCGCGAAGCAGTGCATCAGATGAATTGTTCAGCTGTGTCTATGTTCACATTGACTTTCTCCATCTATCGGACTCTTCCTATCCACCAACATCTCCAATTCGCCCAGAGATTCATCGTCAAATGCCGTTCAAGAACAATTCAAAAATGAAATTGATCATTAGATGGAATCAGTTTTAATTCGATCAAGTTAAAACGATTTGGAGATCGACCAAACTTGCACGCAAGTGCACCCTCAATAGCCAGTGACCGAGACATCGGTTGGCGCCCTCTGGTGCGATGTGAAAATGCATTGCTGGAAACCGATACGGTAATGTGAGAAGCGCGGGTACAAAAGCTAAAGTGCAAGGCCAGTTGATTCGAGTAAGTTCATCGATTCAGTCTTGATACGAGTACAGTCACACAGCTGGTGTGACTCGTGCTGTAGTGATAATGAAAGGAAAGGGCAAAATGCAGCGGAAAAAAGTAGAAGCTTACGACTGTCACACATCCCATGACACCAGTGACACGCACGATTATATTAAGAAACATTCTCTACAAAAACACAACTTATCCCATTCATACTGAGAATTTCAGGCATTGTCAGATCGTTGATCGTCGTTGGTTGGGACGCGCTATTCAAGTAGGTCTAAGAGGACAATGCGCATGTGCGAGGGCTAGGCGATATTCGGCTGTTTAGTTCGTCAGATGTGCAAATGAGATCGTATAGTTTTCGCCTACCTGGGCACATCCTAGTTGAGATCGAGTATCGTGTATCGGGTGTGACATGATGTAAGGTCCGAGAGGAACACGCCCTCAGGTGATAGCGAACAGTGAAGCCTCGGGACACTAAAGTCGATGCTGGTGACTTGTATCAAGATTCGATGCGGAGGTCCACGTTGCCCACCAAATGTACCGGACTCGAATCCTGTACGTGGCATGGCACAAACGGCATCTGTAGGAAATCCGCTGTCGTCCGTTACTCAGATTCCGAAAGTTCAAGGTGTCTCAGATGTTGAATCATCTATAGGATGTGATGAAACTGGAGGGAAATCATTCCACTGAGTTTTCGTCTTAACAATATCAGTCAACTACTTATGACAATGCGGTAATGGAAAAGTGAATGTGTCCTGAGACTGTGCGTGTGTTTATTGCGTTTGTGTGCTAAGTTCGGTTCCCGTATACCCATCGCTTCATTTACGGTTGTATGATTGCAAAGCATTTGCATCCGGTGCAATGATGGTGATGGCGATGATGGTGTAACGATCAAAAAACCGGTGGCTTATCCGTAAAACAAAGCACAGTAACGGTATTGCATAATGGTCTACCTTGACTGTATTTTTGACTTAGCACAGCGATATAATGCACCGTTTTCTAACGCATTTAGCTCATTCATTCTACGTCCTCATAGTCAACATGCCTTGTTGGGATATCCCAGAGTAAAATAAAGTAGAGGAAGAGCAAGGTGTTATTTACAGAGCTCACTGAGTAGACTACCATATCGACGAGCACCGTAAGCCAATAATCAATATGCTGCACAATTCGGTGCACGGAATCAGTTTAACGAGGTACAAAGGTGAAGGAAACCCCAAGATTCAAAGTCAGATCAAAAGCTGCGAAGGTAAATTGTGTAAGTCTAACTGCTTACTTTGCTCGGAGGTGCGCTATCGTTCGAATAGACCAAGTCGATCAGACGAGTGCCAAGCTCTTGTCGCAGCTGACTCATGTATGCACGCATGGTTTCGGCTTCTGACGAAGTTTTGGGTTTGGCATATAAACTGTTCAACTCGCGTGGGAAATTCGGATCGCCTGGGATGTCGAATCGACTGATACCCATGGCCAACAGTTCTTTGGAGGCAATCGCTTTGTTTGGGCACTATGGCCATAGAGGGAGAAGAAAACGGGAGTGCACAGAAAGATCGTAGATTTAAATTATTTGAACGCAAATAAGGACCGAAGGTTCGGGGTTAGTCACGATTTTTCGAAGCAGGAAATAAACGAAAGCGAACGTCGACAAAAGTGCTGAAGAACCTTTGTACCAAATCACAAGTATGGATGGTCGAGTGAATCATGTGAGAAGAAAAAAGCAGCATCGAGGAGAGTCATTTGTGTCATTGCGACTCGCTGTGTTATATCGTCTCGTAGCCATTCGTCAGAGTGGCAAATGGTTGGACCAAAAAACGGAAAGTCTACTGGTAAAGAACTGGCATTTTTTGCTGGACAAAAATACATGATAATTTACTTATATTCCAGAAGTGGCGAAGTGCAAATAGATTCGGTAGCAATGAACACAGGTGAACGTTGTCAAATTAGAGGGCAACCAAGCAGGATGCTTCTGTAATTGGAACAATTACGTGTGATGTGGAAAAAGTATAGCATTAACATGTGCCGAGGTTGGCAATGAAAGGAATTGTAAATTCGAATACTATAGAAGTGAATCACATGAAATGCGCATCGTTGAAGTGGTGGAGTAATGGTTTGTAAAGGTAGAATTGTGGGAGTGAGATGGTACTATGCAAAACGGAGTAACCAGTTGTTATGGTGAATGCTTATTGCCAATAACAATCGGAATGTTCACCCGTCTGTACAGATTTAAGTGAGTTACAGTGGGTTATAATTTCAAAGAAGTTAGTCAGTATCGCAAGACATCCGTTCAGGTAACAAATCGACTGCTGCCAGTCTGAGGTGGAGACCACCTAGCTACGGGGCACGACAACAACCGTCGTGACTAAGTTCCTAAATGTGGTCAGGCGCCGCTCACCATCCACTGAGTTGTACGTTACTGCCGTGCAGAGGACAGGATAGACCCATCAGCAAGCGACGTAGAACGCCGACTAACTCATGGCATTACAAGCGATTGGTAAGCGTAATGATTACAAAGGAGTAGTAGAGGGAGTTGAATAGTAAAAGTAGAAAATTACCACATCTAGACTCGGATGGAATGCGCACTGCTGATGATTCCAAATAGGGGGAAACGGCCGTACAGTGCTTTTCCGGGCGTGTAATGGCTGCTTGATTGAGCCTAGATGTGGTTAGTTTCTAATTACACCATTTAAATCCCCCTGCTACTTGCTGGTAAACTGATAAATCTGCAGTAGATAACGAAAGAATGATGTTTGGCGAAAAAGACAAATAGCTGACTTAAAGGCCCCGCCAATTGATTGGACACACTTGTCGACATGGCGAAGAATCGAAATCAATGAGCTTCTTTTCAAGCCGCATCTTGCTTATCATCCCCCCTTCAACCGCGATCTCGTAATCGAACCATAATATAAAACAGTTCAATGAAAGTTTACACTTTTGCCTTCTTACTGCTACCTGAATGCCTTGTATTGAAGCAAAATAACTGGGGTGTTTCTCATCCCTAGCCAATGATGAATGAGGCACATGACTTCGGGTAATGCAGTATCCAACAAACAAAGTTTTCGAACAGATCCATTGAAGAACCAGCCAAATGAAATACTTCGATTAATTGCTTCGTATTCATCCGACATCTCCTCGGATGATCAACTCAGAGATTTCATTTAACCAAATGAAGTGACAGGACACAGCGGCAGTCAATGGATAAGAATCTGTAGAGCAAGACCAATGTACAGCAACGATCCAAATTCAATTACAACGTGTTGCGGTACAATGGGGGCTTGTTGGCAAATAACAAATGTAGGGGACTTCACGACAGTTAGAGATGAGTTGTACAACGAAAATCAAGGGGATCCAAGATGACCACTCTCTTACTGCCGCAATTGTGCTGCGGCGTTTCTCTGATCACACAGAAATGGTGTACAATCCACTCTTAACTAGTAAGCATGTACCCAGATAGCGCTCCAAATCACGAAACCAAAACTTTGGATAAGCTACGGAAACAACACCTACTTCATTATCAAACATTCCAAGTTGGTGCAGATAGACAATTTAATCAACCGTGTTCGACGGCATCTAATTCACCAAGGAAGAGAAGAACAACGGGCAGTTATCATTCTTAAACGTATTCATACGAAAGACTGAGGTTGGACCAGTGGAAACGATATTCGATCGAAAATCAACACACACTGAACAGATGTTCAACTACGGCAGCAATCACCAAGCAGTTCACAGGCGCAGCTGCATGAGAACTCTTTTCAAGCGAGCACGAACAAACTGCAGCTCGCAGCAGTTGAAATAAGCAGAGAAAGACCATCACTTCAGCCTACTCAAACTTGTGCTGCCTGGCGCCACAACACACAGCAACAAATGTGAAGGTCGAAAGTACAGCCACATTGCCTTATATCGACAGAATCTGAAATGGCAGCGAAACCTTTATTACCTTTTGAAGTCAAGGTCGTCCACCAACTAACGGAGACAATTCGAAGTAATTTCTCATGGTTGGCCATGACTAAGATGATCTCCTGGGGTGATGGATTTAAGCTTCCAGGCTAATAATTATGCTCATGCAGGGCATATTTTCATTGGCTCACTGGCGCTTTAAAAACAAAGTACTATGCTCAAAAACAGCCGAATGATAGAACCGGTTGGATGGTTTGACAGTCCATAATTTTGGAATATACGCAGCCCTAAGGATAGGTTAAAGGGGTGCTGGCATACATGCCATTACGCCCCACCGGCATACATCCAGAGGGTGCATGGAAGTGTGGGTGAATCTTTTCGATAGAATACCCTGTATGGAAGCGGGTCTTCAAACGGTTCCACGGATGGCTGTTTACTTTTAATTCGTTTGTAAGCCACATTGAAAAAGGAACACCCATCTGCCTATTGCAATGACGCTGTGCCTGTTTGGTCAGACCATTGAGTTGGACTGTCTCGTGTTTATTTATTTATAAGTGATAAACGTAGCGAGAGGAAAACATCTAGTGTAATCTACAACATCCGCTGCCGAGATTGTGGTATATGCTATGTAGAGCAATCAGGAAGAAGCTTGGCAAAAGGGTACGTGAACATAGCCTAGCTATTTGCAGTCACGATCAGAACTCCTTGATGTCCGTGCATATGGATGTAGAAAACCACTAATTCAACCTGGAGATCCACAAGTCGGCAAGCAGGTGAGTTCGTTAAAACGTGGCAGTGAAAGCAGGACTCGATTATAGGCACTTGGATCTCGTGGTCACTTACGAGGCCCTGCGAACCACGCCCTTGAAGCCGCACTGATGATGTTCCGTAGTCTGGTAACGAAACGTCTCAAAACTAATTATTCAGCCCGGAGAACAATGCAAAATCAACATGTATCCGGCTATTGCCGTAGCTAACATGGTTTATAAAGGCACAAGGGCAGCAGTGACAGTTGCCTAGACAAATGAACCGATGGTTCGATGCGTCCATGCATTCCGTGAAGTCAGCACCATATAGGCTCAAACAGTTGGTTGAATATCGGGATTGAGGACACGACTCATGCGTTACCCTTCGAGCTGAACGTTTCGGTGTCAGACTAGGCAGCAACAACAGTGCGGCTTCAAGGGCCTGGTTCGCAGAGCCTGGTAAGTGACTTCTAAATTCAAGTGCTTACTGAGTGAGTTCTGCTTTAAATGTCAGCTCGGAGAACAACGCAAAATCCACATCCACGTCCCGAGATCTATTTCCAACTATTTTAAACCCCATAATGGTGATCTACTGCGAAAGCTAGATGCACCGGTAGGAATAGCCTGGGATCTACATTCACAGTGCAAAATCGTGTCTACAACAACCGATTGTTGAGGCCATAAGCGTCATGAGGTCACAAGAACCTTATCCATCATAATGGTTAACGGAATTAGGCGGAGACCGAGGTTACAAGCTGATAAGTAACGTACAAACACGAGTAAAGTGCACTGGGGAACAGCCAATGCACAGTACCTATCCCATAGCTAATTCGGACGGAGGAAAGCTGTCAAACGTAGAAAGAAAAGTATGACAGAAATATGCTAACCGAATGAACCCAAAGAGGTGCCAGTGCGTCGACAAAGTTTCCAGATAACTAAAATAGTGCTTATAACACACAGTTAGATAAGGTAAATTCGCTTATCACTAAAAAAATCCTCGTTGTATATATATATATATATATATATATATATATATATATATATATGCCCCATGCTGAGGCTGATGTTGCATTATCGATGCTTCTTCACCGCAGTTGGGCTAAACCAACTTACACTTAAACTAGGTCTTTTTAAGCTGGATAAATTTCATTCCGCTTTATTTGGTTTGTTCTGCCTCCCTGAATAATGTTCTATTAACTGGCCACGTTGCTTACACTAATTGCGCTTATCTTCGGTAATTTTGTTGCGTTTGTAGCATTTTAAGTAACGTGTGGACATTCCTTACTTATCACGGATTTGTTGCTAACCAACTTACTTCATTTGGTAATTTAGCGAAGAGTTATGCCACCGTATCTGTATGCATTATTGGATTTATTTTATTTCAGCTTGTCGTTTAAATTGAATGGCTGTTGTTTGATATCCCTAGTATTGTTGCGCTTGATCTGTATGTTGACCAGGTGTCTACCTGTCTATTACCCACTACATCGTTCATACTGACTCCAGGAGACAGTTGGTCGTTGCTGGAGGGGACGGGGTGCACGGTTCTTGTGGCCGTGCTAGGCTCAAAGAGCGGTTCCATGCACTCAGTGTGGAGCGGACTACGGTCCAGCCACCGCCTTGTGTGCGCTTGATTCCCCAAATACAGCGTGCTTGTGTTTGCCTGTGAAGGAGTGTGGGCCGGCTCCGTTGATGAAACGTGGTTCCCATCCGCATGCCTCCCGGTCTTATTCCTTCGGGTTTACACTGGATATGGGGTGTGTGGTTGGAGCTGTGGGTGGTGCAGCGCAAGCCATCCGTGGTCCCTCTGTAGGCGCAGGCGTCCTGTGGCTGGCCACAATAACAGGCAAATCCGAAACCGGATGCCGCCAACCATATATATATATATATATATATATATATATATATATATATATATATATATATCAATCATTCGGAGAAGGTGGAAAATATCATAAACATTGAGTGTGGTATATAAAGTGTGATAACACCTAACAGTCAAAGTGAAACGTTGGAAAAGTGTGCTTGCGAGCAGGTTTAAGGCAATAATCAAGCACTGCAACGGGTGTAATCTACGCACCAACCAACCTTTAGCATCTTCTTCAAGCATTCCAAAATGTACAGGATGAGATATACTAGAACGCGATCAGCTTCACTCTGAAAGGAGAACAAAGAAGTAGACTTGGGTAAGAGAGGCCGCTACACTCGAGAAAGTATAAAGTTAATAAACGAAAATTCCGTAACCGAAGGCCATGACAACAAGCTTCGGAGTGAAGTGGAAGCGCATCAGAGTAAAGCTTGAGACATCTGCACCAAATTTAAGGTAAGCAGACTGCAATCAGAGTGAGTTCACTGGATGGTAAAAAATCGTTTTGGGGCAACCAGGAGTACTCATTTAGTTGAAGAAGTCAATAGATGGTAGTCACGAGATCAGTTGCTGTTGGCTCAAGTACCTAAAAAACGGTTGTGGATGTGCAGCATAATGTCAAAACGCAACGTTAAAAGCCATCTAAACACCCAACCGTTCCTGAAGACGAGAACAAAAGCGGCTAGCAGTATGTGCAGAAACTTATTTCAATTCCGTCTACCGGCCACGATCCCGGCATCCAAAAGCGACAGATCCAGCTGCAATGGCTCCTGTCACTAGGGGAATAAAAACTAACGTAACGGAGGAAAGTAAGGAAATAAAATGCAAAAGCGCCAACAGTTAAAAATCGGATAAAACGACAATCCCTTGCAAAACAGATCTCATCCAAAGGGCCTAAGGACGTTGCTCCCTATGATCCTGAGGCCACAATTCAGGAAATAGTTATGAATCAAACCAAAGGGACAGGATAGCACCCTAAGTACAGCCGTCCATTGCTTATGATTTTAATAGAAACTGGACAATATATATATATATATATATATATATATATATATATATATATGGATGGCAGGATCCGGTTTCGGATTTGCCTATCACTGTGGTCAGCCACAGGACGTCTGCGCCTACAGAGGGACCATGGGTGGCTTGCGCTGCACCACCCACAGCTCCATCCACACAACACATATCCAGTGTAAACCCGAAGGAATAAGACCGGGAGGCATGCGGATGGGAGCCACGTTTCATCAACGGAGCCGGCCCACACTCCTTCACAGACAAACACAAGCACGCTGTATTTGGGGAATCAAGCGCACACAAGGCGGTGGCTGGACCGTAGTCCGCTCCACACTGAGTGCATGGAACCGCTCTTTGAGCCTAGCATGGCCACAAGAACCGTGCACCCCGTCCCCTCCAGCAACGACCAACTGTCTCCTGGAGTCAGTATGAACGATGTAGTGGGTAATAGACAGGTAGGCACCTTGTCAACATGCACATCAAGCGCAGCCACACCTGGGATGTCAAACAACAGCCAATCATTCGAAATGCCGATATCGATTAAAGTAAACGCATATGACGACATAAATACTCGCTAACTGAGCATATAGAAGAAATTGGTTATAAGTGAATCCGTGATAAATACGAAATGTCCGAAAGTCACTTAAAAAAATACCACGCGATATAATTACGCAAGTTTACCACCATTTGCGTGAGCGACGTGTGCAGGTTTATAGAAGATAGTTCAGGTAGACATTAATATGAGAAAGAAAAACATAAGGACAAAACTGCAAACCCACCACCTGAAATAAATAGACTTAACATGCAAGCACGCGGTTAGTAAGTCGAATGTAGGACACCTACAAACGCTGCGCCGGTTCTGCCTAGAAACTCTACAAGACCCATCGTCGCTTCGGTGGTGGTCCCGAGTGACCTTGATCAAGGCTCACTAGGCCTGCCTGACTCCGCCACTCGCGACCACATGTGCTACAGCACCATGCACTCGATGTTGATGGAGTATAACCCATCGGCGCTTGCCGGTTCCGCACTTGCCGCTTCTGCAAACATGAGGTCTTTCTCCCGCACTTCGGTAACTGCCTTCGTGATAAGATCGCGCCATGCACGCTGATCAACCGCCTTCCATTCCCATGACCTGCAATCAAGATTAGAACGTGTGAGGCTCACTTTGATTATGTCCTGGTAACGTAACTTTCGATTCCCCACATGCCGCTTCCCAATACTCAGCTGACCATATAATAGTTGTTTCGGTATCCGCGTCGAATCCATACGGCTCACATGACCGAGCCACCTCAGGTGTCTCAGCAAAAGTATGCAGTCCACTGCATACATCCCACTTCGATGCAATTCGGTCGCACCAACCGATGCGCAGAATCCGTCGCAAACAATGTTGATGGAACCGCTCAAGATATCGCACATCCCGACGGTACATCGTCCACGTTTCACTGCCGTATAGAAGAACGGACAGCACCATGGATTTATACACCATTAGCTTCGTGCCAATGGTAAGCTGATGGTTGTTCCACACTCGGTACTCTAGCTTCCCTAATGCCGCCGTTGCCTTCGAGACACTGATACGCAACTCACTGTGTAGTTGCTGATCAGTCGACATCACATCCCCAAGGTAGCAGAAGCAGCAGGTGGTTTTCAATACTTCAGCACCAATGCTGATTCGCGGCAATATTGAAGATTGCACCTCCGGTGAAGGCTGAAAGAAACAGACAGTTTTGCTTGTGTTGATGGTGAGCCCGAATTTTGCCGCTGTCGAAGCCAGAGCACTAGTCATGTGCTGCGACTCATCCGCGCTGTGTGCAAACAACGCACAGTCGTCAGCAAACAGCAACATACCAATAGTTGTCTCACAGACTAGAGTTCTCGCACCCAAACGAAGGATGTTCAGCAACCCACCATCAATACGGTACTCCTCACGAACACCGTAAGCACAAGACATCATGGCATGAAGATATTTCTTAAACACGACAGGAGCTAAGACACAGCCTTGCTCCACACCAGAGACAACTAAAAAGTCATCCGACGTCTCTCCACTCAGCTGCAACCTCGCTCGAATGCCACTGTGCAGACATTCTATTAAACTTACAAACATACGCAGGCAACCAAACTTACCCAACACCAGCCACAATGCCTCGTGGTTCACCGTATCAAATGCCTTGGTGAAATCAACAAAAAGCGAGTACAACGGCTGGTGTCGTTCTCTGCACTTCTCCTGCAACTGACGACCCGCAAACACCATATCTATAGTGCTGCGATCAGAGCGGAATCCACACTGCTCTTCCGCCACGTTAGATTCCACAACCTGACTGACGAGGCGGTTGAGCAGGATTCGGGCAATCACTTTGCCCACACAACTCAGAAAGTTGATATCATGATAATTCCTACATTTCTTGGTCCCTTTGCCCTTGCACAGTGGTAGCACAAGGGCATCCTTCAGCTCAGCAGGCACATCCTCCTTAATCTACACGCGTTGCACAAAGCGGTGCAGCGCAGTCAACAACGCGGGTCCGCCGTGTTGCAATATTTCAGGCGGGATCCCATCGGTGACGGCAAACTTGACGTTTCGCAGCTGAGCAAGTGCTCTCTGCGTCTCATCCAGTGTCGGCGTATCCATCAGACTCGCCTACACATCGTGCTGCTTCAGGCCGTTCAAACTAGGCCAGTTGATCTCTGAACGGTTGTTCAAGAGATAGTCAAAGTGGTTCCACCATATTTGCAGTCTGTGTGCAGGTAGCGCCTGAACTATCATCGATCAGCGTCCTCAGCCACTCCAATCTCGATCCATACACCGACTTCAACGAGCCAAAGAATTCCTTGTGTTAGCGGCGTTCGGCGTAGCATTCCATCTGCTTTGCCTTCTCCGTCCACCATGCATCTTTAATACGACGGAGCTCTCGAGTCAGTCGCCGTCGAAGTTTGAAAATGACTCTTCTGCCCCAAGTCACTAGGATCTGCCACATGTGCAGCAAATGCTACATTCTTCTCCGACACCAATGCGCCAATCGTCGCATTATTCGCATCAAACCAATCAGACCGCTTACAGTTTGAGCGCCCGATGATCTCCTCCGCAGCAGCTGTCACCTGGTCGCGAATGTGGTGCCACAGGTCGCCCACTGTCGCTATGCAGTCCACATCACACAGGCGTGCAGCCATCGCCTTCTCCAGCTCAGTACATTTTCCCCCAGTACCGAGGGAGAGAATGTTAAGTTTACGCCGATTCACGGCGGGAGTGCAATACATAAATGTACGAAAATATATGTACAGTTTGGTCCGCACCAATATGTGATCAGTGCCGCACTCGGCTCCACGCAGTACATGTGTCATGCGGACTTCACGCATATCACGCTGACGTTCGATGATATAGTCGAGCAAAGAAGCGTGACCACCCCATGGGTGCGTCTAAGTTGCTATATCACTCGTACTCAGTGTAAACCGAGTGTACGTGATCGTCAGGCCGGGAGTGGCACACAGTGAGAACAGCCTGTCACCGTTCGCATTCGCTGAACCAAGGCCATGCGGACCGATAACATCTGTCCACGCTGATGTATCACGCCTAACGCGCGCGTTGAAATCACCCCGCAGAAATAGTCGGTCACTCCTCAGCACAAACCATATCACGGAGGATAGCTGAGTGTAGAAAGGATCACGGGTGTCATCAGGGTAAAACATGGTACGTGCTTATAAAAGGGCCAAACTTGCCTCTTTCGAGTCGTAGGCGAACAGTTATCAGTCGCGCGCTGATGCCTGTTGGTTCACCCACGAGCTGGCCATGGAGGTGATCGGATATTGCAAATCCGACCCCATGTTCACGTGTTGCTGAGGCGGCGTTGCCCACCCAGTAGAATGTGTAGCCAGCACCTGCTTCATGCAACTTACCTTGCTCAGCGAGTCGGATTTCACTGAGCGCCGCAATATCGATATTGTAGCGCGCCAGTTCCATCGCGACGAGTGCAGTGCGTTGCTCGGGGGGCCCACTCGAGTTCCGGTCCAGTAGTGTGCGCACGTTCCAGCACCCGATGCTGAGTGCTTTGCGCGCAGGCATGCGATTGCATTGGTGGGCAATCGCACGCGAGGTGGTCGTTGTGCTTCGGAGGTTTGCTTGAGGGACTCCACCCGGAGCCTTTGGCTCAATAGCCTGACCCACAAGGCAGTAGGGTTAGACAGAGATACACGCACACATATAGGGATAGTCAATGCTGGGTGTGAACATCTGACTGGCAATAGTGACTCGTACACCACAGCTGTTGAAGGAGGCCACCAGGTAGCA